TTATTCTTATGAACCTTAGTTATACAATTGATTTCAAAATATATCATGACATAGAATTTTAATTTGTATTTTATAGATATAGATGGATGTCAAGAAAGAAATCCATAGGAAGGCCATTGCTCATGTAATGTGCTTAGTTGTTTATTGGTGGTTTCTTCGAAGTCGACAAAAAAAAAAGCTTCTTGATGATAATATAATTAATGAGAGAGAATGAGTTCAAGATAAGATAATGAACAAAATTGTGGGGAGTGATAGAAGTCGTTATATCATAGGAATGGGTCCTAGAACTTTTCTACAATTCTATGACATACTTGAAAGGGAGGGGGATCTCCAACCCACAAGAAGAGCAACTATTGAGGAACAAGTAGCTAAAACTCTTTATATTATAGCTAAGAATGCCAAAAACCTATCAGTCCAATTTTGGTTTTGACATTCTGGAAAAACTACTAGCCGACATTTTCATAGTGTGTTGAGAGCTATAATAGCAGTTGAAGATAAATTTATTAAACAACCAGATGGTACACAAATCCCTATGGAGATAATGTCAAGTAGTAGATTCTACCCATACTTTAAGGATTGTGTAGGTGCAATTGATGGAACACACATTGGTGTAAAAGTCTCACCCTTAGATGCCCCTAAATATCATGGTAAAAAAGAGTATTCAACCCAAAATGTCTTAACTGCTTGTATATTTGACTTAAAATTCACCTATGTGTTAACAGGATGGGAAGGGATTGCCTTAGATTCTAGAATTATTAAGGATGCATTAAAAAGAGAAGATAAGCTTATAATTTCAAAGGGAAAATTTTACCTTGTTGATGCTGGGTTTATGTTAAAAAGTGGCCTTATAACTCCTTATAAAGGAGTTTGCTACCATATCAAAGAATACTCAAATAATCCTCCTCAAAATGCTAAAGAATTATTTAATCTTAGGCATGCATCCCTACATAATGCTATTGAAAAAGCATTTGGTGTTTTGAAAAAAAGATTTGAGATTTTGACAGGCGGAACCAAGCAATTCTATAGAGTGGAAATCCAAATTTAATTATTTTAGCTTGTTGCATTATTCACAATTTTTTAATAGGTGTGGATCCTGATGAAGACCTTATAGCTGAGGTAGATATGGAATTGAGAAATCAAGATAATTCCCAACAAGCTCATACTTCCAAAGAGGAAGAAGAAGATGCCACCAAGGGGAAATGTTGAAAGATGTCATTGCTGCTGATATGTGGCACAATTACAAAAATTGCTAGTGTACTTAATGGCTTTTTAGATTTTTCTTTTTTGTATTTTTTTTGTTCTTTTGACTTAGTTAATTTCTTTGTTCTTGAATTGTTTACTTTTTTTTAATGTTATAATTAATAAATTTTCTTTAAAGTTATCTAATAACTTCTTTTATTTAGGTATGGGAGGGAAGAAAAAAAATAGTAATATTGAAAATGCAAGTGAAGAAGGCAAATTAGTATGGAAACCTATAATGGATGAGGCTCTTATGGATGCTTTCCTACATCAACATAATTTGGGCAATAGGGTAAATGGTTCCTTCACCACCAAAGCATATGAAAATATTGTTAATGAATTGAAAGAAAAACTTGGGAAGGATGTTGACAAAGATAAGGTTAAAAATCACATCAAAACATTGAAGGCAAACCTCTCAAAATCTCATGATTTATTCAAAAACCTTAGTGGTTTTTCATGGAGCTCGATTACCAAGCTATGGAGCGCCGAACCTGAAGTTTGGGATGCATTAATAAATGTATAATTTTAATTTAAATTCCTTTACTAAAATTTTTCTTCCTTTATTAATATTTTTCTTAACCTAAATTAATTATTTAGATTTAAAAATGTTGATGTTTTGTAGGTTAATAAGGATGCTAAAGAGTGGATGACAAAACCAGTGTTGCACTATGACACACTTGTGATACTATTTGGAAATGATTGAGCTACAGGTGAAAAGTCAGAGACTGCAAAATAATTAAAGAAAAAGCAATAATCCCAACATGATAATGAGTCTCACAATACCATTGAGGAAATTGATCATATGGTGTCACAAAATCAGGTATCTTTGGATGGTTTTGGTAATAATGATGTTGATTTTGATCCTTTGACATGTCTCAAAGGTCCTTCAAATGTGCCAACTAGCTCAAAATCCAAAAAAAATGAAGAAATCACAAGAAATTGAACATGAGCAATGGGCATTCAAGAAGCTATCAACAATGTAGCTCGAGCTCTATTTGAAGAGAATTCATGTCCTCCACTTTCAGAAGCTGAAGTTTGGAATATGTT